AAAACCGCAAAAAGGTTTGTGGCTTAAACTGATTCACGAGTCGAGTAAACCGTACGCTCGATGACCAGCAGAGTCACGTGGCAACCCTGGCAGATTTTGGGCAGATAAAATCCGCGCAACGAGCAACAGGGATAGGTGATCAACGATGCAATGTGCGATACTGGTGTGTTTATGATAACAGATCCTTGCCCGGACAACTGATGACTAACCATATATCTGGAGTCGATGCTTCGCAGCTCAGTTCGTACTTCCAACCATTGAATTAGTAAGATTCTTATTTTGATTCTGCACGTTGTTCTCCAAAATGAATCATTGTTGTCCACGTATCAGGGAATGGCAAAGACGACAGAACGAGATCCCATGACGTAACGAAATTTTGAGGAGTGTTTACAATTGAGGTGCAGTGGTTGAGTGCGCCTAAACAGTCAGTGAGCCATCTTTTGTCATCGCTCCGTATTCCTTAGTTTAAGTATGAAACGGAGGCATGGGGGGGGGCCACCGCCGAACCTAAACTACAAAGAGCTTTTGCAGTGTGTTTATTCTTTGAAACGTAAATAACGGCTCACATTAAAGACGATTAGGAGTCTTGGTAGACACCATGGCGAAAAGAATACAAACGATACCTATTCACCATTCGAATGGTTAAAAAATGGTTTGAAAACCTGACTTCATAACGCTGTTCGAATTTCGCGATCACTTTGTCATTCCTGTGAAAGAGGAGGTCCTTTGCCATGTTATTCGCAATCTCCCGGCACTGATTCATTGGTGATGCCCAGCACTCCTATCCAGGTCTCTTTCCTTTGTAAAATTCTTCCGCATGAAACGGGCAGCGACAGTCTATACTAATAACAAACGGTACGAGAAAGAGCAAACCTACTGAACGTTTCTCAGCGGTGCTAACGGCCGTCGTTCGTTAGCGGAGCAGAGAGCAAGAGTGAAAACTCGCACACCGGTTCTAGGAAGTTCCTTGTGTTGTGCGACTAAATTCAGCGCGAGGGAAACGTGAGTCAAAAAAGTGGTTGAAGAGCCGGAGGTGCGAAAAACCGCGTCTTTAAGCCACAGATTCGACGCAGGTCAAGAGGAGAGCGTAAGCCGGCAGACGGTAAGTAATTCACACCTGCACAGAGGTAGGCTTGACGTTGTTGCGATGGTGAGTAAGTTTTTGCTTCGTGTATCACGTGCTGAAAACGACTCGAAAGCTGCAGAGCCGCTGTGCGAGGTTTTCGCCTCGATCACATGTCAGGTTTTGACCATTGTCTATCAATTGTACGGCCGCGTCGTCGTCGTTGTCGTCGTCGTCGTCGTCGATCGTGGGGCTCTACGATGACGCTGCTGAGCGAATTGTAGGTGGATGCGTTCCGCTCTGTCGAACGGTGCGACTTTATGCTTTTCGCCGTTCATTTAACAGTTTACTTATTGAGCAGTATTTCGAGGGGAAACAGGTGGAAATTTTGGCCGCTCTATTAGCACGAGCAATTAACCAATTATTATGGTTATTATTAATGCAAAGCACAGCATCCGGTGTGGTAGTCACGCGCGTTTGAGCAACCAAGCACAGGAGCAAAGTCCGAGGACAGAACAGACAGATCGGCATCTGTTGTAGGCTGAGGTTCATTGAGTTGTTGCAATGCCATGCATAGCGGCGCGACTGGTTCAGAAGGGTCCGTTCGGTGGTAATTGTCTGCGCTCCTTACGAGAACCCCTGATATGGGCACAAAATGCACACTTTGTCATTAAAGAGTGTCATTTGAGGCACATCCAGGACGACAATCAGAGAAGGGTTAAACTCATTATTTATCTTTCAAACGTCGTCACATATTTTGATCCACTGTCGTACGAAAGACTCCTCAAGACTTTACTTTGAAAAAAATAGCCTTTTGCAGTTCTTATCCGCGTGCCTCCATTGAGTTTCATCAGCTCATCTTGTCATCGATCTGGAAGCCTTTCAACGAATCGACCGCTTACCTTAGAACCCAGCCTAAGGGTATTTGCTGACATTGCACTCATGGTTTTTGCCCATTGACATGACAACTTTTTCACTCTTGCAATGACAGTGGTTTCGTAGACTCCTATTTGGGTTTTTCCCATTGGTCGGTCCTCTGATTTCCTCTATTTCCAACATGACCTTTCAGTGTTGTAGCTTGTGTATCGCTTTCATGCGTTAGCACTGGGAGCAGACACTGATTGCAGACTTCCTGTTTCAATCACAAGGGCAGCCGTTACTCACCAGCAGACACTTTTAGACATAAAACTATGCCGTAACGTTGTGGTCGTCGTTATACAAGCCTCACAGAGATCGAACAGGGAAGATGTAGGCTGAGCAGAGTATTTCCAGTTCATATTTAATTTTGTTTGCTGCTGCAGCAAAGGCCTCTCTTTGCTTCCCTTGGCCGTCTGGTCACTTCTGCGAGGCGCATCCATACTTTCATTGTCGACTTTTATTTTTTCCCCTAGAGTTTCATAAAACGTATCACGGCGAAGAACTCTGAAACTTTTTCAGAATTTTTTTTAAGATAGTTGAACATCAGCATCTTCGCGCCTATAAAGCGTTGCATTCGATAAACATTCCTTCTGCATCACCACATTTTAAAACTAAACCTTTTAGGATCAACCTGTTTCCAGTTCCCTACCAATTATGCTTAGAGGGCGGATTTCATTTGCATTTTCATTTATCTATCTTTCTTTGTCTTTCTAGTCGAGCAGTATACGTCAGATCATCAAAAAAATTCTCTGTAAAATACAACGCTAAGGACCCTAATGATTTTATTAGCAGAATCAGGACAGATCTTATGACCGAAATTGCAGAAGTACCGTGATCGAAAGTTTTCTCAAACTTTCTCGGCTAATCTCAGAAATTATTTGTGCATTTTTGCTGTTTATCCGTTACCATTCTGAATGGATATATGGATTCTAATTGAGGAATGATTGACTTCTGGCGTTATTATAGTCTGTCTTCTTTGATTTAAGACTTAGATCCAATGGAATGAGACAATGCATACCAGACACATACCCTATTCCTTGGAAGTAAATGTAATAAACACTTCAGCGTCCTGATTAGAATCAGAATGAAAAATTGCATTACACTGATCAAACCTGCATAACCAGCTAGCTCACCTTGCTGGCATTATGCTCGTCTGAATGAGGTTGTTTTTGCCGTCGCGTTAAAAAGCTGAGCATGAATGGAACAGCTGATTAAAGTTGCAGTGGTTAATGATGTTCTGACGCGATCGAGATTATGTCTCGTAGATTCGCATTCGCTTAAGACGCCGTTGGGTGAAGCTGCGGCAGAGATCACGTTTCGTATTGTGAACTGGTCGAACGTATGCGTCTACAGTTATCCGCCTTGCCAGCGTGCAGAAGTGCCGATCTGATATTCGGAATATAACAGCAGAGCACTTCTTCGGAGTTTCGCTGTTTGGAATTTCTTAGCTTTCACAGGAGCACTCGTTGTGAACCCAGATTGTCGACCATTTTCGAACGTTACGTGACGCTAGTGGCGGTGACAGGCAGATTCGAATAGGAACGTTTCTGACCCGTTAGGGTTGGCAAGACGAGGGTAGGCCTGACGTTAAGCTGCCGAACATCCGCTGTCGAAGTTCGAGTGAGGGCAACACTCGCGAGGGTTGAAAAATCAATAGGCGCTTTCGAAAGCGCTGCTTGCTAATGCATTTCTGAATACAGCTGTTTTTTGTCAATAGACCGCTTGAGCACGGCTGACGTTAAGTCAGCTGAACCTAAAGTCGCGATGACAAGCGCTTTCTGTTTGACGTCCTTGAGGTTTGCTCTCTAGCTGTCCTCGCTTTCTCGGTGACTCGTCGGGTGACAGAGCGTCACATAAGAGCAGATCGAGCTAAGAGTCGAACTGAGATATTGATTCATCACGAAGGAATTTTGTCCAATTGTGACTCGTGGTTTTATTTACGTGTGAAGCTTAGGAGTGCATTAAGCTGGAAAGTCACTAGAAGGCAAAGCTGCTGTCTTATGTACTTTCGATTGACCGTTATTCAGTCTGCGGGAAAAAATGAAATCATGGCCACCCTGTTGTTGATAGTCAGCTATTAGATGGGCCAAAGCGAAGTGTAGCCATCAAGGGCGCTCGCATCTGACAGAAAGGCAATATACCCCATCCGTTCTGACATGACCAGTTCAGAATGTGTACTGTAAATTTATCCAGAACTAACCGACGTACTACCCGTTTCTCGCATGGTTGCCTGAGGCAACGTGGGGTTAATTCATTGTTCACGGGAACTCGCAGTCTTGACAAAGATTTTCCTTCAGCGGATTCGAACCTGGTACCTCCGGAGTTCAAAACTGGCCTCATAGGCACTGTGTCACCACACCACCGTTTGCAGTGCCATCTGGTGACAAGGTGGACAAGAGTTCGACCAGCGGCAGATCGAAGCCAGGAAAACAGTTCACGGCGTCTGGCAGTAGTTAGACATTTAATTCTTTTTTAACACCACTGGCAGTCCGGCAACATAATTCGTAAAGAGCAAAACTGGAACAAACGGAACATAATGGTATCCGCTGTAGTGCAACAAGTCAGCAGAAAGATGAACAGACGGGAAAAGACGTACACAACTAACTCTGCCTGGTCTTCATGCTGCACCGTTTGCATTACAACACCTAACTTTGCCTATTATCTGTTGTTCCCCTTGTGCGCTACCCTAAGACAAAATGAATTTACCTTTGCACAGTCTGACAGTCCTGCATCCGCCTCTGAACTGAAGCCATGATTCCTGTTCAAATGAGGCTCGTCAGTTTTACAGGAGAAGGGCTTAATACGTCATGCTGCGTCTTTCATGTAAGCGGTTCACCTCCGTTATCTACAAGATCTTTGCCGAACTTGTTCCGGCTTGGACAGTGGGAGCATCGTCAATCCGTTTTAAATCCATTTTTTTCTTTTTCCTCATAATCCATATCCGCTTCTTCTTTCGGGTCATGCAGCCAGACACTCAGATGCTGCTTCCAACGATCCCGGTTCGGTGCCAGAATCTGAGCTTCGACACCAGACTAACGGAGTCAGGAACAGACTATATTTGCACCAGGTTAATTTTCGTTATCCCCTGGGCCTTCTGTCGGTAAGACTCATAGAAAAAACATTTGCTTAGACTTCCTTTTTGGAGGCATTCGCAACACATGGTCAAGCCATCACAGTTGTGACTCCACAATCTGGAGAATCAGCGTCTGTGCACCAAGGTTCTTCCGGATATCAGTATTCCGGACCATATCGAGAGCATAAGGCCAGCGACTCGTCTAAGAAAGCCCATTTCAGCAGCTTGTACCCAGGATCGAAGTTTTTCAGTGATGGTCCACGATTCATGACCGTAGGTAAGTATGGGGATAAAGAACGACTTGAATATTGAGAGCTTAGTTTTCAGACTGAGTTCTGCG